CCTTGGGAGTAGCTGCCTTCAGGATACTTGGTCTAGGGTGGGATCACTGCCTAAACAACAGAATGCTAATGACTTTATTTCTCAAAGTATTGGAGCAAGTAACTGTTCTAGTTGCCCTTTGTTTCATGTTAAAGCAGTCTTTTGTGTTCTTCCTGCTGTGGTATTGGGTGTAAAAGTGTAAGGAAAAGGAAAGGCAGGTGATTTCAGCATTCACTGGAACTCCCTCCTGGTACTATTCTGTTTTCTGTTTTATTACTTTCACATGTGTCTTTGTATTCTTTACTAATATTTCTAACCCCCCACACCCCTACCCTGGCAAGAGGTGTCTTTGTTGAGGCTGGTCCCTGACAGCTGGCCTGGGTTAGAGTTAAAGCTTGTCTCAAAGAGTAAAACAAAACAAACGGGGCTAGTGAGATGGCTCAGGTGATAAAGTGCTTACTACACAAGCATAAGGCCCTGAGATCGAATCCCCAGGACCCACTCACATAAAAGCTGGGGCTGGTAGCATGTATCTGTAACCCCAGCACTGTGGGGCAGTGTTGTGTGACGCTATTTCTGGGGAAATAAGTAAAAACATCTAGTCATCCTGGACAGAGAGCCAAAGACAGAAAGGTGAACAAATGAGGGTATTGGGGTCACATAACAGGGGCAGGGATGACTCAAAAGCACCCTGGCATGAGTCTGCACAGCCTGCACGCAGTCCAACAGGTCAGGAATCTCCTCTCTTTAGCACTGCTTGCTGATTGTATAACCTGGGGAACTGAGGCATCTATGCAGTTGGTCAGTTTCAGGGACTTCCTGAGACTTGTGAATTGCCTTCTTCCTGAGTCTTAACAAGCCTGGAACTTTCCTCTCCAGGATGGAGTGCTTTAACTGGGAGGAAACTGCTGCACAAGAGGCAGAGCCCAGGGACATGGCAGGTGCTTGCTGGACAGAGAGCCTGAAGCATGTCTGTTTTAGTTTTTATTATTGTAAAGAGACATCACGACCATGGCAACTCTTACAAAGAAAACATTTAATTGGCATCTTACGGTTTCAGAAGTTCAGTCCATTATCATTATGATGGGGAGCATGGCAGCATGCAGGTAGACATAATGTTGACTACATCTTGACCAGAGGCAGTAGGAAGTTGGCTACCTGTCAGACTGAGTGAAACTGGAGAAAAGAGACCTCAAAGCCCGTCCCCACAGGGACACACTTCCTCCAACAAGGCCACACCTCCAAACAGTGCCTCTCCCTTTAGGGGTCATTTTCTTTCAAACCACCCCAATGACTAAAGAAGATGCTTGATTTCACCTTTGGACTCCACATGCCACTATGTGTGCACATGCATAAATACATCACACACACACACACACACACACACACCCCAAAAGTCAAAAGTCATGCATGGTAGAACATACCTGTAACCTTAGCACTTGGGAGGTAGAGACAGGAGGATCAAGAGTTCAGGCAGCTTTCACTACATGATAGGTTCAAGACCAGCCTTGGTTGCATGAGAAATTAAAAAAGAAAAAAAAATAAAAATCCAAGATAAAAAAAGTGAACACCAGCGGCGTGGTGGAGGCACACACTTTTAATCCCAACACTTGGGAGGCAGAGGCAGGTGGATCTCTGTGAGTGAGTTTGAGGCCAACCTAAGTGAGTTCCAGGATAGTCAGGGTTGATGCATGGAGAAACCCTGTGAACATCAAGGGTATATGTCTATAGAGTGTCCAAAGGGATGGTCAATTATATATTTTTAAAATACAATATTATTAAGATGGGGCAGAGCTCAGTGGTGGTCAGAGAGAACTTCTGGAGTCTGTACAGTCTAGGGACCCAATCCAGGCGGTCAGACTTGATCCCAAGCAGTTTTATCCACTGCCTGTGAGGCATCAGTTACCTGCCATCTGCCCATTCTTGCCTTCTCTGTAAGCCCCACACCCTCTGTGGAAACCGACAGTGACAGCTGCTGGCTGTGGCCACTGGGAGCCAAGGTGATCTAAGCTGGGAAAACCATGCCAGACTTTTGAATTAGGAGTGAATACTGCAGAGGGAGCCAGCTTTGGCTAGGTTTCCCAGCCATGACAGCTGGAGCAGATCCGATTTTCTAAAGATGAAGGAAACAATTTCTCAGCCTACAAAGACCATCTATAATCAGATCTTGACATTCCCTGAACAAGGAAGTGGGAATTGGTTCCATAGTTCAGCAGTGGAGTGCTTGCCTAGAATCCCCCAGTGAGGGGCTGGGATGTGGCTCAGTGGTAGAACCCCTGCCTAGAATACCCCAGTGAGGGGCTGGGATGTGGCTCAGTGGTAGAGTCCCTGCCTAGAGTCCCCAAGTGAGGGCTGGGGCAGGTGGTTCAATGACAGGATACTTACTTAGCAAGCCAGAGACCTTGGGTTCCATCCTAGCACACGAGACAAACAAGGAAGAAAGGAAGACTGGAAAGAAGGTATGAAAATAGGGTCTTTGTTTCTTCCCCTCAGATCTGTGTAGTTTGGGGGCTGGTACACAACCAACAGAAGGTACTAGAAGCAGTGCCACCAGCCATCATGAGGGATGGTCAAATTACACAACTTCTGCCAGGATCATGGGGATGGTCATTTTTCCATATCTGAAAGCTTGGGTCTTTATTTTTATTTTTTAAAGATTTATTTATTTATTTATTTATTTATTTATTTATTTATTTATTGTGTATACAACATTCTGCCTGCATGTATGCCTACTGGCCAGAAGAGGGCACCAAATATCATTACAGATGGCTATGAGCCACCATGTGGTTGCTGGGAATTGAACTCAGGAACTCTGGAAAAGTAGCCATTGCTCCAGTCGCTTGGTAGTCTTTTCTTGCAATTTAGTCTAGACTGGGCTTGAATTTGGGATTATCCTGTCTCCGACCCCTGAGTGTTGGGATGACAGTTGTGAACCACCATGTCTGTCTCTCCAGCAACTTTTTTTGGGTGGTGGGGTGGGGCTAGGACGGAGTCCAGGACCTCATGCATGCTGAGGGAGTATTTTACAATTTAGCTATGTCCTACCCCTCCATGGGTGTCTTAACTATGGTTACTATTGTTGTGATAAAACACCATAACCAAAAACCAACTTGGGGAGGAAAGGGTTTACTGGACTTTTGCTTGCACTGATCACTGAAGGAAGTGAGGACAGGAACTCAAGCCGGGCTGGGACCTGGAGGCAGGAGCTGTGCCGAGGCCATGGAGGGTGCTGCTCACTGGCTTTCTCAGTCTGCTTTCTTACAGAACTCAGGACCACCAGCTCAGGGATGTCACCCACCATGGGCTGGGCCCTCCCCCATCAATCACTAATTAAGAAAATGCCTAGCAGGGTGGTGGTGGTGCAATATCTTTAATTCCAGCACTCAGGAGGCAGAGGCAGGCAGATCTCTGAGTCAGAGGTCAGCCTGGTCTACAGAGCCAGTAAGTTCCAGGGCTACACAGAGAAACTACCAAAGAATCAGAAGGAAAAAAAAGAAGAAAAAGAAAATGAAGAAAATGCCCTTCAGACTTGACCTTGTGGAGGTTTTTTCCTCAGTTGAGGGTCCCTCCTCACAACTCTAGCCTGTGGTAAACCGACATAACATTAGCCTGCACACTGGGGAACGCTAAGCAGGGGCTCTACCACTGTGCCACACCCCAGCCCCTCACTGGAGGATTCTAAGCAGGAGCTCTACCACTGAGACACGCCCCAGCCCCTCACTGGAGGATTCTAAGCAGGGGCTCTACCACTGAGACACGCCCCCAGCCCCCAGCCCCTCACTGGAAGATTCTAAGCAAATGCTGTTCTGCTAAGTGATAGTTTCTGGTCCAGGGACCCCTTTGTTTCATCTTCTGATGGAACACTGAGCCAGAGGCACTCAAGTGAGACTCCATCTTCCACTCCCCACTTGCAGCAATGCTGAGCCGTTAAATCATCATCGCCGCCGTCATCCACCACTCTAAGGAGTGACTTGTGATGACGGAAGGGCAGCCACATCTTATTGACTGCAGGCAGCCAGCGGGTGACCGCGCGGTGATCTGGTCACTGGGGAACCTGTGGTGTCCTCATCAAACCGGTTCTGAAGAGAGGTTTCAGTTAGTGACCGTTGTTGGCTAGGGGCCACTAGTCTCAACCCTTTCCAATCCCAGCTCTCCAAGCTGCTCCTGGGATTTTGTGACTGACCCAAAAAGCTCCTCTCAATAAATCCCCTGTGCTCCTGAGGTGGCTTCTGTTGCCTATTATTATTAGTAACTTATCTGTGAGTCAGACTTTCCGGCACCCTTCCCACGGGACACTGATTCTCTACAGTCTCAGTTTCGACACCCCTCTTCCGGGAAGCCTCCCCCCATTACCTGGGTCAGGCAAGGCACCTCCCTCTGGCTTCCTATAGTCCCCTGTTGCTCCCTTCCAAAGCAACTTTTTTTTTTTCCCCCACCTTAGGCCGGTCCAAGACTGCCTCCTCCAGGGTATTATGGGCACACAGCACAAGTTCCCCCGTGAAGAATGGGTAAGAGAGGGGCTGAGGGAGGACGGACACACGGCAGGGTCTCACTTAAAGCAAATGGACCCTGAGTCCCTCTAAGCAATGCTGGGGAAGAGTCTGCCATCTGGCTGGGACCAAGGTCACACTAGTTTGGGAGAGAGGGAGGAGGGGTACCGCTGTGGCTGTGGCACCGCTCATCTTGATCCCTGCACCAGAAGGGAGAGGCAGGGGGATTGCTGCGCTGGAGTCCAGCCTGGGCTATATAGGGATCGAGCAGATGTAGCAATCCAGGTCCCTAACTGACAAACAAACAAGTGATCTTGGATTTGGGTTTCTGGTCCCACGACGTGGTCACAGGGTGGGGGCCAGGACTGGATGTGTAGTTAGGGGACTCCATGTCTGAAGGAGGAGCTTACGGCTCCGATGGGTGGGAAGATCTGAGGGTGAAGGGGCCCAGGTTCCTGAGTTAATGGGGGACGTGTCAGGGGTCAGACTGTCCCCCATGGCATTGCTGGTGTCTTTCACACACTGGAGGACTGAAGGGCCAGGATTCACTTTATTTCAGCTTCATCACCCCTTCCAGCCCCAGGGCTCCCTTCCTCCAGTCCAGGTGCCCTGTCAGGCAGAAGAAAGGGGTATTAGAGCTTTATTTACTTATTTATTATTTATGTTTCTTGTTTTTTTCTGAAATAGGGTAACTGCCCTTGCTATCCTGGAGTTTGTTCTGTAGATCAGTCTGGCCTCAAACTCACAGAGATCTTCCTGCCTCTGCTTCTCAAGTGCTGGGATTAAAGGCATCAGCCACCTCTGCCTGACTTATTTGCATTTTTTAAAAGAAGTCTTATTAGAACGGACAGTGGTAGTGCACGCCTTTAATCCCAGCACTCGAGAGGCAGAGGCAGGCAGATCTCTGTTCGAGGCCAGCCTGGCCTACAAGAGCTAGTGCCAGGACAGGCTCCAAAGTTACAGAGAAACCCTGTCTCGAAAAACCAAAAAAAAAAAAAAATTATTAGCCAGGCAATGATAGAGCATTTGATCCCAGCACTCAGGAGGCAGGCACAGGCGTTTCTCTAAATTTTAAACCAGCCTGGTCTACAGAGTAAATTCTAGGACAGCCAAGGCTAGCAGAGAAATCCTGTCTCAAAAGAAAAGAAAAAGTAGTTTATTTTTAGTTAGTGTGTCTGTGTGTGTGCATGTGTTTGAGAGTGCAATGCCTGAGGAGGCCAGAGGGGGGCGATGGATTCCCCTGGAGCTGGAGTCACCTGACATGGATACTGGGAACTGGATTAGGTCTCTGCACGAGCAGTACCCACTCTTAACTGTTGAACTGTCTCTCCCAAATCGTGTTTGTTGTCTTTTGAAGACAGAGAGCCAGCAAGACAGTGCAGCAGGAATGGCCTGCAGACCTGATGACCCGAGTTCCATTCCTAGGACCCCCAGAAGTTGTCATCTAACCGCCTGCACATGCTGTGGCATGTGCCATATCCCCACCACAAAGGAAACACATGCATGTCATTTAAAAAGAATAAGAATTAGGGGGCTGGAGAGAGGGCTCAGTGGCTCAGAGCACTGACTGCTCTTCCAGAAGACCTGGGTTCAATTCCCAGCACCGACACAGATACTCACAACTGTCTGTAACTCCAGTTCTAGGGGACCCGAAACCCTTCTTCACACAGACATACATTTAGGCAAAACACCTATACTCATGAAATAAATTATTTAAAAAAAATAATAAGTTGGGCTGGACGGTGGTGGCGCATGCCTTTAATACCAGCCCTTGGGAGGCAGAGGCAGGAGAATCCCTGTGAGTTTGAGGCCAGCCTCGTCTACAAGAGCTAGTTACAGGACAGCTAGAACTGTTACACAGGGAAGCCTTGTCTCGAAAAACAAAAAGCAAAACAAAACAAAACAAAAAGTCTCACATAGCCCAGGCTGACCTGGAACTCATTATGTAGCTGAGGATGACCTTGAATTCCTGATTCTCTAGCTTCTGTTTGTCACCACTCAGTCTACAAAGTGCCGAGGATCTAAACCCAGGGCTTCCTGATAGGCAAACACCCAGCCAAGAACCAGGTCGCTGATACCCCCTCCCGCTTCGTTATTTTGAGGCAGGATCTTGAATACTCTGCTGACAGGGGCATCAGAGCCAGTCCATCTGGGACAGAGCACAGCCAGAGGAGGGAAGCAGGACTCACCTGGCCTCTAGATCTTGGATACATCTGGGGGCCACACAGGGCCAGCTGGAGGGGTGCATTCCCGTTTAGGAGCTTCTGCCGCAGAGAATCATTGGTCAGTACTGCTTTCAGTCTTTTTCCTCGGCCCACCCCTCCAAGACCTTGAGGTCTCACAGTGTGGTGCAGGACCGCTCTACTTACCCTGTGGCCCCCTCCCTGGCCTGGGGCCTGGTGGGGACCTCCCACATAACCGAGGCCATTTTTGATAAAGGAAGGGGAGCTCGGAGTCTGGGCAGGGTGAGGGGTGCCTGGAAGGAAGAAATTAGGAAATGTTTCGTAGGGCCAGTGAGAGAGTTCACTGTGTAAAGATGCTTACTGTTAAACCTCCCGACCTGAGTTCCATCCCCAGGGCCCACGTGGTAGGAGAAAACTGAGTTGTGTAAGCTGTCTTCTGACCTCCGTAAGTGTGCTGAGGCAGAAGCACACACGCACAATTAAGAAAAATAAAATAAAATTTGGGTGCTGGAGAGAGCACTGACTGCTCTTCCAGAGGACCTGGGTTCAGTTCCCAGTACCCACATTAGCAGCTCACACTGTCTGTCACTCCGGTTCCAGGGGATTCAACACTCTCACATACACATACACACAGGCAAAACACCAATGTACATAAAACAAAAATTAAAAAATAAAATAAAATCTAAAATAGTCCAACCCATAATAAATAAAACAACAGCACCCTTTCCTTCTGTGTGGAAGAAAAGTTCACTGGGCTGACAGGACAGCTCAGCAGTAAGAAGTGCTTGCCAAGACTGATGACCTGTGGTCAATCCTCGGAACCCAAGATGGAAAGAGAGACCCAACTCCTGAAAGTTGCCCTCTGACCTCAGCGCGCGCGCGCACACACACACACACACACAGAGTAAATTTTAAAAGAAAACAGAAATCTCCCAACTGGGGCTGGCTGTGGTGGCAGAGGCAAGAAGATCTCTGAGTTGTAGGCCACCTTGGCTTCAGGACAGCAGGACCAGAGAAACCCTGTCTCAACAGAACAAAACCGAACCAAAAACTGCTGGATAATGGTGGCGCACACCTTTAAATCCAGCACTCGGGAGGCAAAGATAGGCGGATCTCTGTGAGTTCGAGGCCAGCCTGGTCTACAGAGTAAGTTCCAGGACAGGCTCCAAAGCTACAGAGAAACCTTTTCTCAAAAAAACCAAAGAACTCCCCCTACAAAACAAAGCAACAACAGCAACAGCAAAAAAGACCCCACCAACCAAAAAAACCTCCCCAAACCCAAAAAAGCCCCAACCCCAAAAAAGGAACTAGGAAGCCATCCTTGGCTACATAGCAAACATAAGTGAGGCCCTGTCTCAAAAATACCCATCCACTCATGCCACAAACATCTCTGGAGCATCGTTTTAGGCTTTGGAGACACAGCATGAGGGAGAAAAACATCTCTGTTCTTGTAGAACTGACATACATGGAGAAACAAGGAGAAGGGCTCTTGCAGCGGTGGGCCGAGGCGAAGGGAGGAGGGACGAGAGGCAGTTCCCAAGCAAGGAAACAGCTCAGATGTTCGGAGTCCTTTCAAGTCAAGGAGAGAGTGATGTTGGCCAGGGAGAGGGGGGCAGCTGCGAAGGCCTCTGGGAGACTGGAATGACAGGCCAGAAGCCAAGGGGAAAGGCTCCAAGGTAGGAGGTGCTGTGGTGGGCGAGGCTTGCTGGCCTACTGGAAGGACAAGGCTTGATAGCTTAGACCCACAATAACAGGACTGGGAAAGCTGAGGCAAGAGGATCTGAGTTCAGACACAGCCCCGGCTTTACATAGTGAGAACCTGCTCGGAAAGCACACACGCAGAAGGACTGCATACCAATCTGCATTATTTTAACATCAACCATGAAAACGAGAAGACCCGTTCAGTGCCCATGGTGGCCTTTGGTGGTAGGTACAGGTATGTTACACATCACACATGGTACAGAAGGTATGTCACACACCATACAGATCATAGAACATCATGTGGTTCCTAGGCTCTGTAAACTGGAGCCAGGGATAATGGGTTTCGTGGGTATCTCCTCTGGATCTGTGGCTGTCATAGTAATACAGTATGTGAAGAAGCTGTGAGCCCCCTTTAAAAAGAGAGGGAGGGGCTATGGGTGTGGATTGGTGGTAGAGCCCCTGCCTAGGATCCCCCAGTGAGGGGCTGGAGTGTGGCTCAGTGGAGTACTTGTCTAAAATATACAAGACTCTGGGTTCAATTCTTAGAACCTGAAAATAAAGATGGGAGGGATGCTGGAGAAATGGATCAGTGATTTAGAGCCAGATTCAGTTTCCGATAGCCACAAGGTGACTCACAACCATATGTAACTCCCATTCCAGGGGTTCTTGTGCCCTCTTCTGACTTTTGCAGACACTGTACACACCTGTATGCACATGGTACACAACATACATTCAGGCCTACGCAGATAGACGAGATGTGCCAGGTGCGGTGGCACACGCCTTTAATCCAGCACTCAGGAAGCAGAGACCCGTGGATCTCTGTGAGTTCTACACCAGCCTGATCTACAGAGTGAGACTCTGTCTCAAAACAAAATAATGGGCTGGAAAGATGGCTTAGTGGTTGAGCCACCAGTGAGGACCGGGGTTCATTTTCCAGCATCCACACAGAGGCTTAAGGACTGTCTGTAACTTCAGTTCTAGGAGATCTCACACCCTCTTCTGGGCACCAGGCATGTGTGCACACGTGTGCACGCACACACACACACACACACAGGCAAAACAATCATACACTAAAATAAATATATTTTAAAAAACAACAACAACAAAGGGACTGGAGAGATGGCTCAGTGGTTAAGAGCATTGTCTGCTCTTCCAAAGGTCCTGAGTTCAATTCCCAGCAACCATATGGAGGCTCACAACCATCTGTAATGGGGTCTGGTGCCCTCTTCTGGCCTGCAGGCATACACACACAGACAGAATATTGTATACATAATAAATAAATAAATAAATAAATAAATACAAACAAACCAGGATCTCTCTGTGTAGCCCTGGCTGTCCTGGAATTGCTCTTTAGAGCAGACTAGCCTGGAACTCCCAGGAGATCCGCCTGCCTCTGCCTTCCAAGTGCTGGTATTAAAGACCTATGCTACCTTGTCTGGCCTGAAAAAAATAAATCTTTAAAACAATAAATAATAATAATGAGGGAAGGGGGTGAAGTACGTAACACAAGCCAGATACTTTTGAACTGCTCTCAACAGAATAGTCACATTTCCTGAAGCAGGCAGGCTCAGGACTTTCTCTTCCCTGGTGTGTAGGAAGAGCCTAGGAGTAGGAGTTGACAGGAATGTGAACAGGAGCAGGGGCGATTCATGCCAGGCGGAGGGCGCGGCCCAGGCCAAGGTGCACCCATATGGCTGGAGGTGACCGGCAGGCTGCCGTCCTGGCTGCGGCCCCTCCCTGTCCTCAGGGAGCCAGCTGAGTACCTCCTAATGTTTCCATTTGCCTTTGGCCATGGGTCCAGATCTGTTTTTAGCTTCTCTCCCTGGGCTCTCCGGCCCCCCTTCCTGCTGACTCTCGTTTGCTGTGATAGAATAACGTTCCCGGATTTCCTGAGTTGTTTGTTTGAAGTCAGCTGGGTATTGATCGAGCCAGTGTGCACTGAGCTAGGCTGCCAGGACAGCTGCCCTCCCCATTGGGGAGGGTCTCAGAAGGTCCAGGGGTGTGGAGTGGGAGGGGGAAGAAAGAGAAACAGAGTTCATTTAAGGAGTGAGCACGCGGGAGTTGGATTGAGGAGCGTGTTCTTCATCCCAGCACTCAGGAGGCTGAGGCAGGGAGATGGAGAGTTTTAGCCAGCGTGGATGTCATACTGGAGCCTGACTCCCAAAGAACAAGAAAGAGGAGGGGGAAGAAGGAGCAGGGGTTGGTGAGGAGGAAGTAGAGGTGGAAGAGGAGAGGAAAAGAAGATAGAGGAGAGCTGGAGGGATGGCTCAGCGGTTAAGAGCCCTGGCTGCTCTTGCAGAGGACCCAGGTTCAATACCCAGCTCTCACATGGCAGCTAATAACCCTCCGGAACTGGGAATCTGGCTTCCATGGGTTCCACATGTTCACATCAAACAGAGGAAGTGGGGAGGGCATCCTGAATAGGGGTGCTGAGGAGTCCATCGCTGTGACCTCAGACATGGAGGTGAAATGAGACCCTAGCCACATCCACCTCAGATGTCACTCACCACTGTCAGCCAGCCTTTGTCTTGGGGTCTCCTAGGGGACGGATCTTCAGGGGGCAGTGGGGGAGCAGCGGGAGTCACCTGAAGGAGACAGAGGAGTTCCGCTGTGGACTACTTCCTCAAAGTGTTCAGCAGGGGGCGCTGTGCAGGCTACCTGCCGCGGGTACAGGGTCTCAATCTCAGGTCATACTGCCAGGGAAAACCATACCGGGCCAGACTCAGCCAGGCAAACACTCCCAGCTTCAGCATCTCAAAATTCTGTTCTAGACCCTCTCCCTCAAACCCAGAGGCCAGGTCCCAGCCTCTCCCTTAGACCAAGATTTCAGTCTTTAGCCTCCTCCATCAGACCCTGGGAACAGTGATTCTAGGCCCTGCCTGGCCCTGCTCACCGGCTCCAGATTCCACGCAGCCTCGTGGTGACAGTTGTCTCTGGTGTCCTCTGCAGTGGCTCTGAACTCCACAGACCTCTCTTGCGCCTGACAGATACTCACAGCCTCGTGGCCCTTGATCTGACGACGGCAGAAGGGACAGGTCTGGCTATCCGACTGCTGGGGACAAGGAAGAAAAATGTCAATTACCCTCTTGTCTCCCGTGCCTCTTCTGACTTCAAACGACCTCTCACAAAGCGAGGTAGGGAGGGAAGGCTGGGGAGAGCGGAGCTCTGGAACGGGTGGGTGTGGGGGAGAGGATTGGGATGGGACTGGCCTGGTCTGAATCAAGGAAGGACTCGCAGGCCAGGGCCTAGTCCAGCAGAGCTCAGGTCTTTGCTGAGGGATTCGAAGGGCTGGCCCCTCCTCGTTCCAGTGATGATGGAATATTTAGTTCTAGCCTTTAGAGGCTGAGGTCAAGGTCCGGTAAGGGAAAGCTACTGACGCCACACAGCCCTGCTGGAAGCGAGAAGGGAGGCCTTTCTAAAACCCATTATGGAGCTGCTCAGGGAGGAATGGAGGCTGCGACTCAGGGTGAGGTGGGTCCAGAGACATTAACTCAGACAGCCAGGGCCCTGCGTGGCCTGACGGGACCTCTGTTCTGAGTGTCCTCTGGACCTCTGCTCTCTATGCTCTATGAGGCCCCTGGGAGATCCAGACAGGGCTTTTACGGGAGGGATGGGGGCGGAAAGATGACAAATGGCAGCCCCACCTGCCAGGTAGCCAGGCAGTGGCTGCAGAGAAGGTGCCCACAAGGCTCGATCCTCACGTCCTTGTCCCTCTCCGCACAGATCTTGCACAGCTCAAATGTGGAGTTCATGGCTTCATAAAGCTGCAGTTCCTCCTGAGAGGTAAACGGGACGGGTGAGGGGAGGCCTGGGAGGAAGGTCCCCAGCATCTGTGCCAGCCCGGATGGAGCACGGCTGGTACAGTGTCCGCCTGACGTCCAGGAAGCCCCATGTTCCGCCCCTCGCTCTATCACTGGGGGTGGAGTACAGGCAGGAGAGTCAGAAGTTCAAGGTCACCTTCGGCCCTGTAAGAACTTTGAGGCCGATCGGGGCTTCATGAAACCTTGTCTCTGACCCAAATTAAACCAAACCCAACAGCAACAAAATAAAATCCTGCACAGAAAACCACAGCCAGGTTGAAGGCCAGTGCACCTAAGGCCTTCACAGGCACCGTCATTGTTTTCTTTCCTGGCCAAGAGCCCTCACTAAGTGACCCAGAGGCAGACCTGAGCCTACCCGGCAGTGGAATTATAGCCACACGTCACCACCAGGCCAAGCATGTATCCGACCCTGGACAATATTTCTGGATGTGTGTTTACTCAGGAATGCTAACGTTTTTAGCTATTTGTTTTTTTTTTTTCAAAGGATCTTTTATTTATGTTCTATGTGTGTGTGTGAGAGGCTGCACATATTTTTGTGTGGTACCCGCGGACATTGAATCTCCTGGACTGGAGTTACAGGTGAAGCTGCCAGGTGGGTGCTGGGGACCGAACCGGGGTCTTCTGCAAGAACAGCGAATGCTACCTCTTCAGCCCCAGAACTACTCGATTTAGCAAATACGACACGTTCCATTCCACTTGAACTTTAGATAAACAGCAAATAGAGTGTGAAGAAAGGGCTGGAGAGATGCCTCCACTGTGAAGAGCCCATGCTGCTCTTGCAGAGGACCCGAGGTAGGTTCCCCAGTATTCATACAGGGAAGCTCACAATCACCTGTATCTCCAGCACAGGGGCATTTGACACCTCTGGCTTTCGAGGGCACCTGGACTCACAAGCATAAACCCACAGATAGATAGACACATATACACATAATTAAGTAAAAATAGGTGCTGGAGAGATGGCTTAGCAGTTAAGAACACTGGCTGCTTTTCCAGAGGACCCAGGTTCAAACCCCAGCACCCACATGGCAGATCACAAATATCTGTAACTCCAGTTCCAGTGGATTCAACACCCTCTTCTGGCTTCTGTGGACACTACACACAGAGGCTACATATACCTACAGACAAACACTCACACACATTAAATACTTTTAAATAATAAAAATAAATACTTAAGATATATATAGTAAAATAATATGACTAGTAAGTATATATCAAATATAGAATGAAATTACTTAAGTTAAAAAAACTTCATGGTGTCAAAGGACTTTAATTCTTTCAGAGGCTGAGGCAGGAGGATTGGAAGCTCCAGGCCAGCCTCAGCTACATAGAAAGGTCTTGTACCAAAAACCCAAGGTCCAGGCATGGTGGTGCACACTTTTAATTCCAGCATTTAGGAGGCAGAGGTAGTTGGATTTTGAGAGTTTGAGACCAGCCTGGTGAACCACTACATAGCAAGTTTAGGGACAGCCAGGTCTACCAAGAGAGACCTTGTCTCAAAATAATAATTAATAATAATATTAAAATCACCATGGTGGGGGCAAGAGCTGAGCTGTTGGTGGTCCTCTGTGGACATGCAGGCCATCAGTCGCGTGGAAGTCAGAGGACGACCAGCAGGCCTCTGCTCTTTCCTTCGAATGCGAGGATCCTGGGAACTGAACCCAGGTCCTCAGGCTTGGCTGCAGTGTCTTTGGCTAGAACTCCTGTTAATTACCAGTCCTTTGCAGTATAGTCAATAAAGTTATTGGCAGGCCGTGAGTTTGAGGTCAGCCTGGTCTATAGAGTGAATTCCAGGACAGTCAGGGCTACTAAAAAAAAAAACAAAACTTGTCTCAAACAAACAAACAAGAATGGGGATGTGGCTCGGTGGTAGAGCCCCTGCCTAGCATGCATGAGCTCCTGAGTTCCGTCCTAAAAACTAAAAGACAAACACTTTGGCTCTTCTCCTGGGTGTCTGTTCAGACTCAGAGCTGATAAACACTCAACTGCATCAGCTGTTCTGATGATCTCAGAAGCTCTTTTCTTTATTTCATATCCAAGAAAACCCCCTGGGAAGGAGGTTGCAGCGGTGATAGTTCCCAGCAGAAGAACTCGACAGCCTCAGAGAAGCCAGGATTGGCTCGAGGTCACATAGCCCCATGTTGGCACTACCTTTGAGGCCTCTGAGCTGAGGCAAGTTGGGGGTAGGAGCAGGGAGTGGGTAGCAAGTGTATCTATGAGACTCACCTCTGATACCTCAATGCGCTGGTGGAGTTCTGCCTGGCACAGCTCGGTCAGATCTGGGTTGTGCTTCTTTCCATCGGGGTAGAGGAAGCTGAGAGAAGAACAGAGTTGGGCTCTGAGTGGCTGGACTCACAAGGACCTGCCTACCTCATTTACCCAGGGTGTGTGTGTGTGTGTGTGTGTGTGTGTGTGTGTGTGTTAGGACCTGCCACAAGCCCACACTGGGACTCCCCAGAGCAAGCACACTCTCCAATGCCTGGGACAGAGCTGTCCTCTTGATCATTTCAGGGAAGTCACATTGAACCTTGGTCTCCAGTCTCAGAACCAAGAAAGGAATCCAAACATCTGCTGGTCCAGGATCCCATGGCTCTTCAAAGCCAGTCCTGGAAGGTTGTTATTGTGATTATTACCGCATTTCACAGTGTTAAACCTAACCTGGAGGACTTTATACAAGGGCTCTACCACTGAACCATGCCCCTCAGCCCCTCACTGGGGGATTCTAGGCAGGGGCTCTACCACTGAGCCACGCCCCTCAGCCCTCACTGGGGGATTCTAGGCAGGGGCTCTACTGCTGAGTCACACCCACAGCATGATCTATACCTTTTTTCTTTTTCTTTCTGAAAGTAGGTCTCACTATGTAGCTTAGAAAGCAGATCTCAGGATCCTCCTGTGCCTTTAATATTTTCACATACACATACACACACACACACACACACACACACACACACACACTCCATCCCTGCTCATGCTCATGATCAATACACTTTCAAAACAAAGAACAAAAGGCCAAAGGGGAAAAAAACCTAATAACATAAATGATATAATAAAAGGAATGGGACCAGTCATGAAGGCGAGGAGAACCTGCCTCTTCCCCGAGACTAGCAGCTCTGTGTGGGATGATTCAAGGCCTTTGCCATCTTATAGAACAGTACCCAATGGAACAATGAGAAGCAACATGTCTGCTGTCTGCCTGCCCCCCACCCCCGCCCCATCTCTGTCTCTATCTCACGCTAACCATGCAGTTCTCTGGTAGCTCCTTGCCTAGTTGGGTCACGGGTCCCCAGCAGTGCAAACCACATAAGATCTGGGTGAGAGAGAACAGGGGAGAGCAGCCAGCCCCTCCCCTCCTCACCCTACCGCGGGCAACTTCCCGGAGGAAACCGGAGGCAGCTGAGGTTACAGGTGGAAAACCACCAGACTAGCTGTTTCCCTGCCCCCTGCCCCGCCTATCTAGATCCTAGAGCAGAGTATAGCCTCGAGAAACACAGGCTCTGGAGTCCAGACCAAGTAAGGAATCCAGTGTAACCTGCTGTGTGGACGCAGACATTCCGCTGCCTCAAGATCCCGCCCGCCCCCTGCTGGGCGCCTGTGGCGTTGCAGTTTGGTGTGTCTGCCCACCCTGCATCCTCCCGTCATGATTTGGAGGTCATAATCTGGATTTTGCTGATACCCCTTTCCTTTCGGGTTGGGGACTCACATGCCATCTTTTTGTCCTTTCAGGAGCACCTGAAAGAGGGGTTTGTTGAGAGGAATGGTCTGGAGGATGCTTCCATCGGGACTCACGTACCCAATAGCCCACTGCCCCAGGCGAGTACAGCTGGGCCTGAAGATGTAGCTGTGGGGAGAGAGTGGGATGGAGCGAGAGAGTGGTCGCTGCTGTCCCTGATGGGAACACCCAGTTGTCTGCCCCGCCCGGAATCCAGGTATCTCAGTCCTCATCCTCAGCTTCTCATCCTTTATGGAAGCAGGGCTTTGCTCCCCACCCTAACTACAGAGTGGAAGGGTGTATGGCTATCGCTTCAGCCATTGCTCACCGTAGGGACAGGTCACGACTGAGAATCAGGCTAATACAGGAAAAAAACAAGGCAAAGCACACCCAGACACTGACCCCTGATAAAGGGCTTGAAAGCTTGTATCCATCCGTGCCGGAATCCCATACTCCGGTTCTTTCTTTCAATTTTATAATTTCCCATCCCTCCCTGCCCTATACAACAGGGTCAAGGCTAGCCTGGGCTACCAGAAACCTTGTCTAGGAACCCATCTGGACAAGGATGTTACCACTGGTCAGAATGCCTGGTATGAGACAGAGGGACTGACAGAGATGGAGAGAGAGGACAGACTGAGAAAGACCCTCCCCTCTCTCTTCCTTCCTCTTCCTCCCACAGCTTGTAGTGCATGGGGAGCTCTGGGAAGCCACTGCTCTGTACCCTGACCTTCCAGAGCCCTGTAGAGATATCTTCCCTCAACCTCTGGGTGCTCAGCTCCTCATCCTAAGCTCACTAAGGAGCTCCAATGACTCTAAGCCTCTGACCTGAGAAGAAGTAAGATCTCCAATGTCAGTCTTCCCAGTCTCCTACTCTAACCCACGAGGGCTCATGTTCGAAATATTTCAGAGGCTGGACAAGCTGAGCATGCTGCCCACCTGTAATCCCAGCATTCAGGAAGCTGAAGCAAGAGGTTCCTGGTTTCAAACCCAGCCTGGGCGGCAGGGAGACCTTGTCCCAAAAGAAAACAAATAAATCCCAGCAAAATGCTGAGTGTAAGTGTGACATCTGTAACCCCAGCATTTGGGAGGTAAAGGAAGGATGATCAGGATTTAAAGGGTCATCCTTAGCTAGACGGCAAGTTTGAGGCCAGTCTGGGCTATAGGAAGCAAGCCCTTTCACCGCGGAACAATCTTTTTGTACACTATGAATATGTATTACTCTCTTGCCTGATAAAGAGTTGACTGGCCTATAGCAGGGCAGGATGAGACTAGGCAGGAAAATCAGATGAAAAGGATCCTGGGAGGAAGAAGGGCAGAGTCATGGGGGTCAGAGGCGATGCCAACCAGACACAGAGGGAACAGGAGATGAACACACCATGCTAATAAGGGTACCGCCACATGGCAGAGGGTAGATAAGATATATTAGTTAATTTAAAATGTAAGAATATAATCCTGACCTATTGGCTGAGCATTTATAGTTGACACTAAGACTCTGAGTAGTTATTTGGGAGCAGGCAGTCAAGACAGTAAAACTCCGTCTACACCCTATCTCCAAACAAAGCCATTTAATGGGCTCACCGCATGGCCCCTGACTTGTCAGAGATGGGCCTGATCTCGGTGAGGGCCTTCAGGACGCCTTGCTGGATCAGGTATTGTTGCTTTAGTTGCTGAGCCATGGAATGACCCAGGGGACCCCAGGGAAAGAGACTGGGCATTAAAACTTAGGGTTTTTTTTTTTGTTGTTTGTTTGTTTTTTGTTGCTTTGTTTTGTTTTGAGATAGAATTTCTCTGTGTATCCCTGGCTGTCCTATAACTCACTCTGTAGACCAGGCAGGCTTTGAACCTTGATCTCCCATCTCCCTCTTCCTCCTCTGTGCTCGAATTAAAGGTGTTCACCACTACTGGGCTAGGGTCTTTTTGTTTGTTTGCTTGCTTGCTTTTTTAGTGTTCTCCTGTAATTCCAGCACTTGGGAGGTGGAGGCAGGAGGATGCATCCAAGTGCTGGAATTACAGGAGAACACCACAGGCCTCCAGCTGCAGAGTTCCTGACCCCTGAGCTGCCCAGCCCTGGCCCACAGAGCCGGCCTTGCTTACCTGCCTGGTTTGTCCCTGCAGGCCTGCAGGCGCATTTGGACTTCATCATAGGTCAAGAAGGCCATGTAGCCAGGGTGGTTAACAGCCAGGAGCTGCCAGTTCTTGAGTAGGGTCGGCCATGGCTGGGAGGGACAGAGAGGGTCACTAAGGGACCTATGAAGTAATCTATGATCGAAGATCTTCAGGTTCAAGACTCTATCACCATACCATGCTCACACCCATGGTGGCCCTGGACACTGTACACAGGAAACCACGTGCGCTCTCTCCCCAGGTCCAAACAGCCCTCCTCCTTCAGATCCAGTCCCCATCTTCTCCCTCGGACCCAAAGTTCTAGGTCCACTCTTGACCTTCTCTGACCTGGAAGAGCCTGGTGAATATGTCAAACTCAAAGACAGACACGTGGCCACTACAGGTGAGGTCCAAGGTAGAACGTAAGGCCTGCATGATGGGGCCTGGTTCCACAGGGTGGCAAGTACACAGCAGGGACTGGAACTCTGCCCAGGGAAGCACGCACCTGGATGGGAAGGGGTGGGGTTCGGCTGATGATGTAGGGAGGGTCTATAACAGGAGGCTACTGATCCCCCCC